CCAGGAGCCTCTTCCGGGTCTACCATGCGGTTGTACGGGTCCCAAGGCTTTGGGCTGTCCTCGACTGCTTTCCCAGGCCACAGGCAGGGAGCTAGATGGGAAGTGGGGGATCCCAGCATGTGTAAGACGAGGAGTTTAGCCACTAGGCTACTAGGCCGGACCCTGAGATATTTCTAATAAGAGTGATTTATTTAGTTAAGAAACACTTTTCTTGATTTTTGTTTTAAACATTTTGTGGGGTCTTTTGTTTTGTTTTGTTTTGTTTTTTAATTATGAACAGGATTTTCTGAGTGAGCCATTCTGTTTTTTAAAATTCATTTTACCCAAAAGCTGGAGCCTCTTCTGGGTCTCCCACACGGATGCAGGGTCCCAAGGCTTTGGGCTGGCCTCAACTGCTTTCCCAGGCCACAAGCAGGGAGCTGGATTGGAAGTGGAGCTGCCGGGATTAGAACTGGTGCCCATATGGGATCCCGGGGTGTTCAAGGTGAGGACTTTAGCCAGTAGGCTACCACACCCATGAGCCATCCTCTATTTAAGCCCTTGCTCTTTTGTTTTTCCATAACTACTCTCTCCCTCTTTTGTCATACATATTTCTTATTTCTAATTTCTCTATGTTTAAGATGTATTTTTTTATTTGAGAGGCAGAGAATGAGAGGCAGAAGCAGAGAATGAAAGATTTTCCATCTGCTGGTTCTTTCCCCAAATGGCTGCAACAGCCAGAGTTGGGCTGGTCTGAAGCTAGGAGCCAAGAGCTTCTTCTGAATCTCCCATGTGGTTGTAGAGACCCAAGGACTTGAACCATCCTCAGCTGCTGTTCCAGGCCATTAGCAGGGAGCTGGAATGGGAATTTGAGCAACCGGGACTTGAACCAGCCTGCGTATGGGAAGCTGGCATCCCAGGTCGAAGATTAGCTTGCTACACCAGCTAACTGGCGCCTGTGTTTTTTCACCTGTGAAAAAGTTATTTGTATAAGTATTTAAGGAATGTACCAGAAGGTAGTATTAAGGAATAAAAATATTCCTACAGCTATGCTGTTTTTTTTTTTAAGATTTATTTATTTATTGGAAAGTCAGATATACAGAGAGGAGGAGAGACAGAGATGAAGATCATCCATCCGATGATTCACTCCCCAATTGAGCGCGACGGCCGATGCTATGCCGATCCGAAGCCAGGAGCCTCTTCAAGGTCTCCCACATGGGTGCAGGGTCCCAAAGCTTTGGGCCATCCTCGACTGCTTTCCCAGGCCACAAGCAGGGAGCTGGATGGGAAGTGGAGCTGGTGGGATTAGACCCGGCGCCCATATGGGATCCTGGGCATTCAAGGTGAGGACTTTAGCCGCTAGGCCATGCTGCCGGGCCCTATGCTGTTTTTCGTTTTTAAGATTTATTTATTCTTATTTGAAAGGTAGATTTCTAAAGAGAGAGGACAGAAGGATGTTGCATTTGCTGATTCACTCTCCAAATTGCTGCAACCGTTGAAGCTGTATCCATCTGAAGCTAGGGCTAGGGTTTTTTTTTTTTTTTTTCTGTTTCCCATGTGGGTGCAGGGTCTCCAAGAACTATTGTATGTTGCTTTTCCAGGTTATATGCAGGGTGCTGCAAGGGCCGTAGAACAGGTGGCACTTGAATGCGCACCCATATGGCATGCTGTACTGCATGCGGTGGATTAGCCAATTGTGTCATCACACTGGCCCCAGTTATGATATTTTTCTTATTTTATCCTCTATTTTTTCTTTTCCATACATGTACTTATAACTTTTGAAAACTGTTACATAAATAATAATTTTAAGCGAATTTTTTTTCTACTTTTGTATTCAGAGACTTTTGTTGTTCCAGAAGCAAAACCATTAGATTGTTTATATGAGAAATCTCATGGGAAATGGAATTAAAAGTTAGGTTTATGTTGGTACAAAAATGTATTGCAGTTAAATGGTTTTTCCCTAATATACATCTTCCAGCCACTTTTTGAAGATTCATGATGTATTAACAGCAGAAAAGTTAACTAGACCTTAGGCTAGCACCTGTGTGTTGTGGGTAAGGTGCTGTGTGTCACGCGAACACCCTGTATCATCCCTAGTTCAAGTCCTGGTTGCTTCATTTCTGATCTACCTCCCTGCTAATGTACCTGGGAAAACAGTGGAGGTGGGCCCAACTGCTGGGCCCTGTACCTTTGTCAGAGACAGAAGAAGTTCTTCACTCATTTGTGGGAGTAAACCAGCAGACAAACCAGCTCTGTCTGTGTCTCTGTAACTCAGCCTTTCAAATAAATAAATAAATAAATAAATAAATAAATAAATAAATAAATAAATAAATAAAGCTTTAAAAAAATGATTAGACCCAAGAAGCAAGTAATAGATGGGAAATAGATTGGTATCCCTATTTCATCCTACCATGTTACTCAGAGATAAGGGAATATGCATAGCAGAAAGTTCATTTGAGTCTCCTAGAAGGGTGGCAGAAATCCACATACTTGCCATCATCTGCTGCTTTCTTGAGATGGGTATTAACAGGAAACTGGGTTGGAATTGCAGTCAGATCCCAGGCACTCTGACAGGTTAGGCCAGTGTCGCAAGCTGCAGTGCCAAAATGCACAGCCCATTTGTATTCTTTTTTCTTTTAAGATTCATTTATTTTATTATTTTATTACTTATTTTTTTTAAAATTTAAGGTTTATTCAGATATAGAGAGAGGAGGAGAGACAGAGAGGAAGATCTTCCGTCTGATGGTTCACTCCCCAAGTGACAGCAACGGCTGGTGCTGCACCGATCCGAAGCCAGGAGTCAGGAGCCTGTTCTGTGTCTCCCACACGAGTGCAGGATCCCAAGGTTTTGGGCCATCCTGTACTGCGTTTCCAGGTCGCAAGCAGGGAGCTGGATGGGAAGTGGGGTGCTGGGATTAGAACCACCACCCATATGGGATCCCGGGCGTTCAAGGCGAGGACTTTAGCTGCTAGGCCACGCCGCCGGGCCCCTGTTTGTATTCTTTTTTTTTTTTAATATTTATTTATTTTTATTGGAAAGTCAGATATAAAGAGAAGAGGAGAGACAGAGAGGAAGATCATCCGTCCGATGATTCACTGCCCAATTGAAGCACAACAGCCGATGTTATGCTGATCCGAAGCCAGGAACCAGGAGCCTCTTCCAGGTCTCCCACATGGGTGCAGGGGCCCAAGGCTATGGGCCTTCCTCGACTGCTTTCCCAGGCCACAAGCAGGGAGCTGGATGGGAAGTGGGGTTGCCAGGATTAGACCCGGCGCCCATATGGAATCCCGGCGCGTTCAAGGTGAGGACTTTAGCTGCTAGGCCACGCTCCCAGGCCCCCTGTTTGTATTCTTGATGCATCACTCTTTTGCAACATTTATTTGAAAGAGAGAGAGAGAGAGAGAGAGAGAGAGAGAGAGAAAAGAAAAGAAAAAAGAAAAGAAAGGAAAAGAAAAGAAAAGAAAAGAAAATCCAATCTGATGGCAGCAACCTGGAACTCTCCATTCTTTTGTTTAAACTTATTTTCATCATTATTTTTATTAATTTGAAAAAGTGACAGAGATTTAGGGAGACAGATTTATTGTTGGTTCACTCTCAAAATGGTTGCACAGGTGGGGCTGCTAAAACCTGGAGCCTGGAACTCCGGCTAAGTGTCTCCCATGGGTGGCAGGTGCTCATCAATTCAGTCATTCATCTCCTGTCTTCCCTGGTGCATTAGAACAGAGCTGCTGGGACCCAGACTGGCACTCATGATATGGAATGCTAATGTTTCAGGTGTAAGTTCAGCCCACAGTGCTGGCCCTGATGATTTTAATTCTGCCTTCCCATGAACTTGTTGAAGTTGCTGTGTAGAGTTACTAGCAGCTTTACATTCCTGGACATGACCTGATTTTGGAGGTTCTCATTTCCTAATAAGCAACCCACTGTGAGGTCACACGTGTATATTTTGTTGTAATTGCTTTTGTAGACATTGTTCTGATGGCTTACTCTTTCCTGTCTTACAAACAGGTCATGCTAATAGTGTTCCGTATTGACTGCTTAGCTTTATAGGAGTAATTAATTGGTCAAGTCTTAGGAATATAAGTTTACTTCATTTTGTTAGGTCTGGATTTTCTGCTGTTACATGAAAGAATACCCTATGACAGAGGCTGGCAAACTTTTTCTGTAAATTACCAGGTTGTTTATGCTCATCTCTGCTGCTGTAGCATAAAAGCTTCCAGAAGCAGTATGGAAACCAAGGGCAAGGATTGTATTATGAGAAAATTTCATTTATAAGAACATAAGAACAGCCTATGACTGAATTTGCCTCATGGGCTTTATCAATGTTAAGTCTTGTCCTGTAGCATGAGGGCACTTCAGCAAGTTCGTGGACAAAGGAATTGAATGGTAAGTTTATTTTGATACAATATTTTTTTTAACTCTATGCATAGTTTTTGACAATATGCATTTCCATGAACTTTCTGAAGATTCTTACATTCATCTTGAAGAACTTCAGTCCCGAAAGACTCGAGACAAAATATTAGTATGATTTTATTTATAGGGCATGTAATACAATAGCAACATAGCTATGCTTGAATCTGCCTGGAAAGTCTTCTCATCCATGTTTTACATGTATGGCTGGGACAGTGATATAGAGCGCTTCTTCAGGAAATTCATGGAGAAAAGGACTTAAAAGATACAAAAGCTTTTGAAACCCATTCATGGTTTTTCCTAATATACTTTGCCCATGAACTTTTTTATACCTTTTACATAACTTTCATGGGCCATGTTATGTGCAACCCTGGAGAGGGACTTTTGACCACGAATCTTTCCCTTGCATGGCTTACAAGTGATGGGATCCTTATGACTATTTTTATCCCTAGCATTGTCAGCTCTGTTATTCACCAGTGTGTCTTTAACCTTACTTAGGCTTCTAATGAGTATAATAGAGAAGTTACTTTAAGATATACTCACTGTCCTGTCAAAGTAGAGGACTGTGGTTGGGCAGTTTGTTAGGTCAACCCCTTAATCTGGCTTTCAGGATTTGGAAGAATAAATTCTCACATTCGTATCTGAAAAGGCCCTCTGGACCGAGGAACAGGTATTTTCACTCAGGTAAGTGAATTTTATATCTGAAAATTCAAGCACACAATTTTGTTTTATTTAATAGTTTTCCTGATAATGAACCATTTTGTATTTCTAGGGGAAAATTATATAGGATTTTGAATGTTTGAATTATGCTTCCTGAATTTTCTACTTAATTTTTTTTGTTTTTTAGAAAAATTCTCAAAAAATTTTAATAACTCATTTCTATTCTGTGATAATGTACATGTTTCCTATAAAGCTTAAATGTTGAAAGTAAAAGTCTATATTCTTATTATTATTAGAAAATTATTACTAGCTTTTAAAAAATATATCTTTTACAGATTTATTTATTTGAAAATTAGAGTTACTCAAAAAAAGGAAGACACAGAGAAAGGATACAGATTTTTCATCTGCTGGTTCATTCCCCAAATAGTTGTAATGGCTGGGACTGGGGCAGACCAAAGTCAGGGGCTGGTGCTTTCCACTGGATCTCCCACATGGGTGTGAGGACACAAGCACTTGAGCCATTTTCCACTGTTTTCCCGGGCACAGAAGCAGGGAGGTAGATTAGAAGTGGAACAGTTGAGATTTGAACAGCTAGTATGGGATGGTGGCATCATCAGCGGTGGCTTTAATTGCCATTTCGCAAGGTTGGCCCCTAAAAATAAGTTTTTATAAAGATTTTTTTAAATATTTATCAGAAAGTCAGATATGCAAAGAGGAGAAGAGACAGACAAGAAGATCATCCATCCGTAGATTCCCTCCCCCAAGTGGCCGCAAAGGCCAGAGCTACACTGATCCAAAGCCTGGAGCCCCTAGCCTCTGCTGGATCTCCCACACCGGTGCAGGGTCCAAGACTTTGGACCATCCTTGACTGCTTTCCCAGACCACAAGCAGGGAGTTGAATGGGAAACGGGGCTATTAGGATTAGAACCAGTGTCTAATTGCATCCTGTCACCAATATGGGATTCTGGCGCATGCAAGGGAAGGACTTTAGCCACTATGCCACCATGCCATACCCATCTTCTTTAGGATTTTTATGTTTCTTATTCTAGGTGCGACCCCCAATTTGTTTCAGAATTTACTTTTTAATTTTACTTTAAAATGTATAAATTTAAATTTACTGTTATTTTTTAAAGATTTATTTTATTTTTATTGGAAAGGCAGATATACAGAGAGGAGGAAAGACAGAGACGAAGATCTTCTGTCTGATGGTTCACTCCCTAAGTGGCCACAATAGCTGGAGATGAGCCAATCCAAAGCCAGGACCCAGGAGCTCCTCAAGGTCTCCCACGCGGGTGCAGTGTCCCAAGGCTTTGGGCCGTCCTTGACTGCTTTCCCAGACCAGAAGCAGGGAGCTGGATGGTTAGTGGTGTTGCTGGTGTTAGAACCGGTGCCCATTTGGGATCCTGGCATGTTCAAGGCGAGGACTTTAACTACTAGACTACTCACCTGGCCCTAAATTTACTTTTTTTTTTTTTTTAAAGATTTATTTTTATTTTTATTGGAAATGCAGATATACAGAGAGGAGAGACAGAGAGGAAGATCTTCCGTCCGATGATCCACTCCCCAAGTGAGTACAACGGTCGATTTTATGCCGATCCAAAGCCAGGAGCCTCTTCTGGGATTAGAACCGGTGCCCATATGGGATCCCGAGTGTGCAAGGCGAGGACCTTAACCACTGCGCCATCGCGCTGGGCCCTAAATTTACTTTTAAAAATGTGTATTTCTGGGCCCGGTGAGGGATGCTAGTAGGCTAAGTGCCTACCGCCTCATGCAGATTTTTTTGATCTGTCATGTTGTGGATATTTTTAGTTTAGCTGGTAAATTCTCAGTGTTAAGTTAGCTTATTTCACATTATTTGTTTTCTACTTACATGTAATGATGTGAAGACAAATATATTTTGCATGGTTCAATATCCATTTATGCATTTATTATTATTACTTAGTGTTTCCTAGTTGGGATCACCTTGCCTTGATGTCCAGGGTTCAGGGGGTTGTAAGGACACGTGTGGGGATCTTCACAGAAGGCTTTTCCTAATCTCTTCTCCAGCATTCTACTGTTAACAGAATTTAAGTATCCACTCTCAGCTCCAACTTTTCCAAAGTGTATTCTTAGTTTTGCCATCAATGTCTGTGTTTTCCTGGGACAGGAGTTGGCAAATTTTTTTTTTACAGTGAGTATTTTCGGCTCTATCGCTCTATGGTTTATGTCATCATGGCATGAGACAGACAATGGATAGTACATAGTTAAATGAATGTTCTTTCCAATCAAGGTGTATTGTTAAAAAGGCAGTGGGTAAATTTAGCACTTGCTTTGTGATCTTTTTTTTTTTAAAGAAAGAATGATTCATTTTATATTGATTGGAAAGTCAGATATACAGAGAGGAGGAAAGACAGAGATGAAGATCTTCCATCTGTTGATTCACTCCCCAAGTGACCGCAAAGGCCAGAGCTGCACTGATCCAAAGCCAGAAGCCCCGAGCCTCTTGTGTCTCATGTGGGTGCAGGGTCCCAAGGCTTTGGGCCATCCTGTACTGCTTTTCCAGGCCACAAGCAGGGAGCTGGATGGGAAGTAGGGCTGCTTGGATTAGAACCAGCTCCAGTATGGGATCTCAACACATGCAAGGTGAGGACTTCAGCTGCTAGGTTATTGTGCCAGGCCCTTTTTGTGATATCTTTTTCTTATACTTCTGCTATCTGCTTTGTTGTATTGTTTTTTCTAATTTTCTTGGCTGTGATCCTTCCTTTCTTAGTACTTTTTTTCCTCCAGGCTTTTCCGCTGATAATCTGTTTTCCATTTTTGAAATTTCAAGTTTCTTAAAGCACAGATGATTATATGTCATCAATGTCATATGCTCGGATTGTGAACGTGTATTGCCTGACTGTCTGCCTTGCTGCTTAGTATTCACATAACCAGTTCTCAGTAACTACATTCCTGTTGAGAGTCTGTTGCTTGCTGTCCCGTTTTTTATCTGTTATGGATGCATTTGAGTCAGTTATAAGTTTACAGAATCCCACTCTAGTGCAGTGTTTTTAATGTGTTTGAGCTTTGTCTCTGCTCGCTGTACGTGTGATCTTGCCTGCACTATCGACTGCTTTTCTCACACTCTTGTTCTCTGCTGCCCCCTAGCTACTGAACACTTCATGTTTGTTTCCTCATTCATAATTTGAATTTTTGCAACCTCCATCTATGTGGCCCTCATTCTACCTCATTTTTCTCTCTACAAACTTACTGCTTTAACTGTTGGTCTTCATGATGTTGCGCAATGGCTGTTAACTTGAGAATCTGAATCACTGTGGATTGTTAAGTTTCTTGAAACCGCTGGGTAGCACTTACTACTTGGTGGATGAGGCACAAGGAGAAACAAAACAGACCACTACAATTCCAGGATCCTAATGGACAATGTGAGAAAGCTGTCTGCTTTATTTACACAGAACCAGTCAAACTCTGGCGCAGACTTTTTATCTCATGGTCAAGTGAACCTTTCCAAGGATAATTCTGCCATTTGTTTCACCTTAAAGCAGGATGTTACCCATCCTGACCCTGTGGTCAGGAAGTTCTCAATCATATCAATATGCATATCAATGGCATATCATTGCCACTACAGTCCTCCTGAATCAGTTAAGGAAGGAAATGCATCACAGAAGGAGAGAGTTAAAGATCAAGAAAACAGGGAAGAATAGATTCCTACTACACCTGGGACTTAACACCCTTTATTAGCATATGGTCAATGGGGCAGCACAGACAGCAATAATAGAAGGCCCTTTTACTAAAATGGTATCAGCGTCAACTTCCAAGCTCTCTTTGGTAGTAAACACCAGTGGCAGACGATGCCTAAATAGATTATAGAATTTCCAGTGGGCTGGGCCCGGTGCTGTAGCCTAGCAGCTAAAGTCCTCGCCTTGAACGCACCCAGGATCCCATATGGGCACCGGTTCTAATCCCAGCAGCTCCATTTCCCATTCAGCTCCCTGTTTGTGGCCTGGGAAAGCAGTTACGGACGGCCAAAAGCCTAGGGACCCTGCACCCGTGTGGGAGACCTGGAGGAAGTTCCTGGCTTCGGATTGGCTCAGCACCGGCCGTTGTGCTCACTTGGGGAGCGGATCATCGGATGGAAGATCTTCCTCTCTCTCTCTCTTTGTCTCTCTCTCTTCGCTCCTCTCTGTATATCTCACTTTGTAATAAAAATAAATAAATCTTTAAAAAAAAAAGAATTCCCAGCGGGTTGTCCTGGTGTCCCTGCCTAGGGAGGTGGAAATGCCTTCAGGTGGATGCAGAGACATCCGTTGGGCCCTGCCATGCAGCAGGAAATTCCTTGCAGCCCTCCCTGCAGTGGAACATTACTCTTCACACCTTTGTGTCTTCCACACCCACCGCGTGGCCCTCGCACCTTACCTCTGCACAATGCATCTACTATAAGTGTGTTCAGTTTCATTTAATTCTCTGAAACTGGATGGCAGTCCAGTCATGGCACATCCCGAGGTCTCATAGCTGAACATCTGTAGCGCTTAACAGTTTCGCAGATAACTGTGCAACCCTGCTCTCCAAGAATCCTCATTCTTTCTGCTGTTAACTGCGTGCCTGATTGGCTGCTCTTCAACCTACTGCTGATGGGGACAGTTGCTGCTTATTTGTGTCTTCTGGTTTCTGTGCTTACATAGGTAAGTGGCTCCTAAATCTGTCATAGCTCTGACTTGGGTTGTAGTATGTTCTTTCATTTATGATTCCGTTTTCTTAAGCTGCTGAGTTTCTCTGATTTTGGCTTGAATAATTGTATGTGGATACTAATTTTCTAACCTTGCCCTTGTTTAGGGAAGTCTTTCATTTCATGGCAAGTAATAAACTGTTAACTACCTTGAGGTTGTATCTGTCCTTGGATGAAATCCTTCCTTACCCTTGATCTGATCACTTACAGACTCAGCAGGAATTGTTGGTCCTCCAAATATTGTCTTAGCCAAATCTGTTTGCCCTCAGAAGAAACAGTTTTCCTTGAGAAAGATTTTGGTGTTCACTATACTGTTTATACTGTCTGGCTTAGCTCGCTAAGGTATTTGATTGCATTAACTGACAAGTCTCAGCTGCACCTTCTAGAAGTATAAATTCTTGTTTTTTTTGTTTGTTTGTTTGTTTTTAGATTTATTTTTATTGGAAGGTCCGATTTACAGAGAGGAGAAGAGACAGAGAGGAAGATCTTCCATCCACTGATTTCATTCTCCAAGTGCCCACCACGGCCAGAACTGAGTCAGTCTGAAGCTAGGAGCTCAGAGCTTCTCCCATAAGGGTGCAGGTTCCTATGTCTTTAGGTCATCCTCGACTGCTTTCCTAGGCCATAAGCATGGAGCTGGGGCAGAAGTGGTGCAGCTGGGAAATGACCCAACACCAATATGGGATCCTGGCTCATGCAAGGCAAGGATTTTAGCAGTAGGCTATTGTACCAGGCCCAGAGCATAAAATCTTAAGTTTCTTGATAGCTCAGGTGGCTGTATGTGACCTGCAGACAAATTCATAACCAGTTCCCTAAAACAGTGTTCTTCATACATCTCTGTTCTTTTGGATAGGCACTTGGATTGCTTGAAAATAATTCTCCAGTGTGCTCCCACTATGGTAGGTTATTGGTAGACCCCCTGTGGTTAGGTAAAGGTGACTGGGATTGCATGAACTTCCAAATATTGGGAGGACTGTGATATGATTATATCTCTCAGGGGTAGGAACTGGATGAAGAGGCTCTAAGAAACTCAGCAGCAGGAGTACATGCATTTCATGTTGGATTTGTCTACTTTAATAATTGAGCTTCTGTATCCCTCTGTTCATCTTTCATGGTTTTTTAATTATTATTTTTTTAAATTTTATTACAAAGTCAGATATACGGAGAGCAGGAGAGACAGAGGAAGATTTTCTGTCCGGTGATTCACTCCCCAAGTGAACGCAACGACTGGTGCTGAGCCAATCCGAAACCAGGAGCCCGGAACCTCCTCTAGGTCTCCCATGCAGGTGTAGGGTCCCAAGGCTTTGGGCCGTCCTCGACTGGTTTCCCAGGCCACAAGCAGGGAGCTGGAAGGGAAGTGGAGATTAGAACCAGTTCCCATATGGGATCCCAGCATGTGCAAGGTGAGGACTTTAGCTGCTAGGCCACGGCGCCGGGCCCTGGTCAGCTTGTTTCTTACATCTTCCACTGTATCCACTGACTTCTCTATCCTATGTTTCAGGGGTTGAAAGTGCAAAAGCCTGCAGGATCCAGGTGGCCTAACTGTGTAAGTGCTTCTTGTACTCATCTTCTTTCTTTTCTCCTGGAGCAGGTTTCCCCCCCTTGCTCTGTTTACCTTTGAGAGAACCCTTAGAAGTGAGATTTTTGAAAAAATATTAGCAAGAGTACAAATGTAAAGGCAACTGCATCTTCTAAAAGACTAAAAGCAGTGAGTGTTGGGATCGTAGTTAGTTGGAACATGCAGGCATCATCCAAAGGGGAAAGTTATTCACTTTGGCTCTTGTTGTTTATTGCCCAGTGTGGACCTAGGATTGTCAGGATTTCTGGCACCTACAGGGAGCCTGACTGGCTTTAACTTGTAATTGTTTCAGTTACTTTATGGTATAGTATTAAATAATGTGTAAAGGTGCTTCTATAACATCATAATGCCTACCTCTTACTCGTTTTTTCTATTCGTAATGTTATCTTTTTTTCCTACATGCTACAAAACTCTTGTACTGCCTGTTTGAGAAAAGTTGAGGCTTGGCAGTTTATTCTTCTTTGGCTGTCTTTAAAACCAGGCTGTGAATTTGGATATTGGTGTACAAATTAGAATGAAACAAAAGTTAGACTATAGATAAGAAATAGGAAAATACCATACTTGTATCTGTCAAAGGGTAAGCATTCTGTGAAATTTTCATTATAGTTGGAGAATACTTATAAAAGTTTAAAGAAAGATGGAATTTTAAAAAGTTTATTTTGGTGCAAAATTTTGAAATCAGGCTTAGTTTTTCATAATATATATATATTTCTCCTGAACTTTTTGAAGCCATTAAGTTATGTCTGATCCACTGCTTTTTACTATGGATTGAATAACTTTGCAAGACATCAAGCCAGACTTTGTTAAGAGACAGGACTCCTGAACTAGATTCTTCTTGTGGATAGGTTTCTTTTGGTATTTAGATTCAGATAAATATTTAGATATTAAAATGAGTTTACATAAAATACTGAATTTTTTCTTTCTTCCAAACCATCAGAAGACTGGGTGTAAATTTCCACTGAGGCCAGATACTACTAGGCTAGGGAAGTCCTTCTGTTGTATAGCATATTATATGTGTGCTCACTTGTTATACTTTTTTTCTAACATTATTTGCCTAGGCACTTTACCTGCTACTTCCCCCGAATTTAATTAAAGATATGGGTTGGCCAGTCCTTTCAGGACCAGTGAGGGATTTAAGGAAACCTTAAAAACCTCATCAGTTCTCACCCTCTCTGAAACACTGTCTCTTCATTGTAACTAAATTTGTCACTTTTGCTGTAACAGTACCTAGTGTTGGATTTTATTTTTGAGCTACATTTGCGATTTGGCACAGATCTGTGCCAATGCTTCTATTGTGTTTGAACTTCATTTTCCTAACAACATCCTGAATTGCTGAGCTATTTATATCACACAAGAACTGCTTTCATTGGTCAAAGTTTTCATTTTTATGCACTGTGGTGCTGATTTATGTTTGTAATGAGTCTGGTGATATATTTTCATTCTTTGTTTTGCATACCTTTCTGATACATTGCAGAATATTTTACATCCCCAGCTGCATTCCACTAAATCATCCCAAAAGCTTAAATGGTTCCTCAAAATTTTCACAACACTACCTTTGATTACTGTTTTGAATACGTCATTATTCTACAAAGTATTCTATGGACGGCTTTTCAGTTTTTGAAAATATTTATTCTACTTTTCTCACTTATTTATGTATAGTTTCTCTCTCTAGGCCATTTGAACTTATGCATCCCTAGTACTTTTTTCTTTGTTTGAACAAACATTTAATCTGCAGCCTTGGCTGATATTTACCTGATTCTTTGTTCTGCACTTCAAATTTCTGGGATCTCACAATCTCCTTGGTTCAGTCTTCTTTTTTTGGCCAAAGCTTTTCACCTTAGGTCATATTGGAAGCTTATTATGGCTTATTCTTTGCTTGTCCTTTGATTTGGTGCCATATGAATGCGAACATTTTCTATGGTTGTATAGTAGGTGCAAATTTTGTGCAATTCCCTTTTCATTAGAAGAGGCTAAGCGTATGTATGGCAGACACATGACTGATATGACAGCTGTATTATTATGAGGATGCAAGGCTGCATATTTCCTAATATTTGTAACCCCAAGCATCTTGACATGTTACAGCTCTCATTTATAGAATATGCTTACTGTACTCGCCTCTGTATTCTAGATAGCAACAGAAATTAATCTAAATTTGATGCTATGGAGTAGACCAGAAGGTACATAACCCAAATTCATAGTAACAGAAAGCAGTAGACTGGGAGGGACTAGGGGACAGGGAAAATAGGACATTGTATACATTGAAGAGCTTCAATTTTGCAAGATTACAAAATGTTAATATAGATAATACTACTGAAATGGATACTTCAAAAATAGTTTAAGGTGGTTAAAAATAAACAAAGAATATTAAGTAGGCAGTTTCCAAAAGCCAACAGAATATCCTGAGGTATATTAAAAACTTCATCTTCAAAGGAAAGTATGTGACCATCTTGCTTGCAGCATTCCAGTTTCTGTGTATCAGAATCCATGAACCAAAAGTGGGCCATCATTTAGTTTGTGTGCAGCAGGGGGCAAAGAATTGTTGTTTACATTTTTAATGGTTGAAAAAGAAAAAGGATTATAGTGTTTTACATTACAACATGAAAATCTGTAAACAAATTCCAATTTCAATGTCTTGGAAAAAAGTTCAATGGGAGCGCAGTTATGCTCCTTATTTGTGTATGGCTAAGTTGTTCTGCATTAGCTATCTGTTAATGGAGTTAGGAAGGACATTATAACCAGGAAAGCTGAAAATATTTACTGCGGGGCCATTAACTAAAACAGCTGGTAGGTTAATTTCTTACAGCTTTAAATGCCTAATTAGCATCCTTGTTATGTACTTAAGGCCTATTGTCATCTTGATACTATGCAGGACCACAACATAAAAATAACTTTGATAGAAGAGAGTGATTTTGGCACAATTACTACAACAGAAAAATTTCAAGTACCCAAGGAGCAAAATATCAGATAAATGAGGGCTTATGAAATGTGGGCAGGCAGGTTTGGCAAGTGGCCTCACACTAAAGCACCTTTCTATAGCTTCCAATTTTCTGCTTGATTCAGAATTGCCACAGTATAGACCGGGAGTATCTTTAGAAACGAGTATGTCAGACAAGGGGCACAGGTGTTTCGTGCTCTCGATGCAGAAAGGTAACGGGAGTTGATTCAGATGTTCCACTGTGGTCTTATTGCAGTAACTTTGCCACAGTTACTATGGGCTCTACATATTTGAACATGTACTGTGGAAAGGGTGTATCTGTTTGCTACCCTACCTTTAGGAAATAACCAGATAGAAATATTTTACATTCCTTATTGAAGTTACCTTCATGCAATCTAACACTTTATCCTTTTTTTCCATTTATCCTTTTTTTCCATAGGTTTTCTGATCTTAAGAAACCAAACAGCTTTAGTTTATGCCGTCACTGAATGTTTCTTATACAGATACACATCCAACAGTAAGAAAGAAGGGGATTTCTTAGGAATCTGAAGTAAGTGGCATGGGTGTGGATCTGTGGTTGCTCTAGGTATTTAAGCAAATAGAGGGTATGGGTCTTTTGTGTTCTGCGATTGACTTGGCTTTTTGTTTGTTCTTCTGCCTTGTATATGTTTGTTATCATATATGTTTGTCTTAGTTTGGCATGCTCTAACAAATTACCATAGACTGGATGGCTTATAAAAAATAAATTTATTTCTTTGAGTTCTGGAGGCTGGCAAATTCAAGATTAAGGTGCCAGCAGATGTGCAAACCCACTTCCTCATTCCTGGACAGTCCTGTCCTTGCATGACCATAGGGATGAAGGAGTTATCTGGAATCTCTTATGTATCAGCACTAGCAGTCACTTCCCAATGACTGCACCCCAATTGTCAGCCCGTTGGGTATTAGGTGTCTGTAGGAGGACGACTGATTATATCTGTAGGAAAACAATTGATTGAAGAAACTTTGGGAAGCCTAGACAGTGTGGAGCCAGGGCTATTGCAATTCTGCCAGGAAGGCTCCGGGGGTAGTGGAAGTGAAGAGCTAAGAAATTCCTAATCCTCACATTTAGATAATAGATCAAAGAGAGGTACTTCCTCCCCCAGGCAGGGAACTAATAGACCAAGGAAAGGAACCTGCTACATGAAAAGTAGTAGACTCCCTCTTGCTATTGATATGTAAATTCCTCAAAACCTCCTCCCTGTTGCCTGCTTGACCACCACTGTCTTTAAAAAGTCTGATGCTGTAAATAAACTTGCACTATTGCCCGTCAGTCCTCCACCTATGTTATTATCAGCTCTGTGCACCAAGTCCATCGCTGCCGGACAGCGAACTAGTGGCACCTGTGAACAAGGACTTGAAAGCAGAGAGAACTCCACAGAAAGAGGTAAGTGGGAGTAATGGGTCAGAGTCAGTATACAGTGCAGTCTTTTCAGCTCTTTTTTGTTTTTTAATTACTTTTTAGTGAAAAGTGCAGCAAAATTAACTAGGCAGCAGTTGCATTCTTGGTAAGAGGTTATTTGTGAATAAAACCATTGGTCCCTGGGTGACAGGACGCTAGAAACTGAATTTAAGAGTTTTGCTCAGAAATTTGGTGAAAAGGCCTGAAGGATAGAAGATATTCATGTCAGTTTTTGGATTACTTGGGCTTTAATTAAAGCCATTAGTATAATTTTAGAAAGGAACCTGCAAAAAAACTCCTAAGAGGAGATGCTACTGGGATGTGGCAACAAAAAGGAAATGCCTCAGAATAGATGAGAAATAAAGAGGAAGGAAACCTGTGAGAGGTCCCCTAACAGGAGAGGCGACTGTAACATGGCTAAAACAGACAGATGAGGAGAAACTCCCCTCGCAGGAGACAGGCATCATAGTGCAGCTAAAAGAGAAAAGCCGTATCCTACAGATGAGGAAGATAGAAAAGGAAAACTCAGAAAAAGCATCCCCTAATGGGAGATACCACTTTAATATGGCTAGAAAAGGAACTAAAACTTCCCATGTTAAAACAGCAAAATCCTAGGACTTCTCAGAATCTTCCAGTGGGAAAAATGAGGATGGGATAAAAGAACAGTTAAGTGTCAGCCCACCGAGTCTCACCCTTAAATCTTTTTTTTTTTCAAAGAGTTATTTTTAAATTTTTATTGGAAAGGCGGATATACAGAGAAGAGGAGAGACAGAGAGGAAGATCTTCCGTCTGATGATTCACTCCCCAAGTGAGCGCAATGGCCTATGCTATGCTGATCCAAAGCCAGGAACCTCTTCCAGGTCTCCCATGCGGGTGTAGAGTCCCAAAGCTTTGGGCCGTCCTGGACTGCTTTCCTGGGCCACAGGCAGGGAGCTGGGTGGGAAGCAGGGTTGCCGGGATTAGAACCGGTGTCCATACGGGATCCCAGGTGTGCAAGGCAAGGACCTTAACGCGCCACCGCTCACCCTTAAATCTTATCGAGGACATGCCCAAGTGTTTGATATTCCCCAGAGACCTCATGAATTATGATCGCCTTTTCCAATTACACTTAGTCAAGAAAATAATCAACCTACTTAGGAAGATCTAGATTTTAACGCCATCATGGCTTTTGAAAAAGCGTCTGTGTCCTATGGACACAGTTCTTTGTATGTGTAGGAATATTTAAATGGCTGGAGACAGGGAACAAAGTGGATTCCATATGATTTTGAAGTTAATAGCCAAAATAGGGCTTTCTCTCCTCAATATTTACTGTGGAAGATGTAGAAGAGTGGTATGGCTAGGAAAAATTGCAATCCTTAACACGAGCAGGTCGACAACTCCCTGAGGATGCATGGCTGTTTTATGATATGTTGGTTGGAGATGGGCAATGGACTATTACAGCACAGCAAATAGAGCTACCTCAAGCTGCGCTCACCTATATATGAGAGGCAGTGCTGTGGGCCTGGGAAAAGATTAACACCGGGGCTAAATTTGCAGGCAGTTATATATCTAGGGAACTGGAGAAGGTTATGCTGATTTTATAGGATGCTTGACTGACTGCATAGAAAAACAGGTTAGAAGAGAGAGTACTAGAAAACTGCCCAAGCTCCACATGGCAAAGATTTGCAATGTCCTCTATTTAATCAGTTGTTTTCCTACATATCTAGTCAGTTGTCCTTCTACAGGTTTCAACATAGGCATTTAGGAAGTACGCAAAAGTTCAGTCTGTGTTCTTCTTCTGTGTTTGCTTCCTCCTGATTGCCTTTGCCATTGCTCTATCAGCTTCAGCTTTAAGCCAGCTGCATAGTTCTCACAGGTTTTGCTCAAATTTTAGAATAAGAATTTAATTGGCCTCACTTTATTTGTGCCATTGTTTTTTCATGGTTAGATACATCACTGTATGGCACTGTATGACAGGGTCTTGTTAACAGGCATGGATAGAATAGAGTTCTTGTTTTCAAGCCAGAAACAATTTGAGGTGTGGGGCAGAGGAGTAGTAGTAGTAAGCAGGTTACCAAGGTTCAGTAGCATAGGGTGTCCATCAGAATGGAAGATCACCTTTCCACAATGCCTAGCTATTCAGGCTGGGGAAAGCAAGTTTAATGGAGAGAATAGACCAGCCAGGCAGGTTAATTAGGAAAGAGCTGAGAGTTGAGTACATACTCTGTATCCAAACTGGGAACTAAGGGAACAAAGTTCATTTTTTCCTTCTTTTTCATCATTTCTCCTTCCTCTCACTGGGCAGACAATATTGTCCCAGGGTGCCTTTCGGGAGGGTGCAGGCTGGGACCACCTATAAAGCTATTGAAGTATGGGCAGGACTTTGTTGCAAAATATTGAGTTGTTTTCAAGGTATGCATTCCTGGCTGCCAGAGGCTGCTAAGCTTTCTTTTAGGTGCTTTGTTTCCTTAGGCCCCTAACACATACTTACGCTAATTTCTAACTTCCTGTCTGACAGTCCCACCTTCTGTGTTCAGGAAAAGGATTAGCACTGCATATTATGAAAGAACCTGATCACCAAGGCCTGTGTGCTAGTGCCCTAGTTCAAAATAGAGACAGGGTGGTCTTTAGAAGGTAGTATATTCCTTTGCTAGGAACCGGAATGGACAGGTTTAGTCTCGTTAGAATTGCGAGCTAACTCATGCCAGTTGAGTTCTAACTGAAGCAATTTTGTGCCTGCTGGCATAGTAATTGAATACCATGTTTAGCAGTAATAGAAACAAAATCATTCCTTTCAATGTCAGCAGTTGGCACATAATGTGAGAAGAGAAATTATCAAACTGTGCTTTGCTATAGGCCAAATAAAGCTCTTACTGATAGCCTGAGCGTATTCCTTTAATGCTTGTATGTTTGAATCCCAATGGTGTAGCAAGCAGCTTTGCTACATAGCCTGGAGTTTTAAGAATGTTTTGTCATATTCATGAATGATTTTCTTAAACATTTATTTTTATCCTAAAGTCAGGTATACAGAGAGGAGGAGAGACAGAGAAGAAGATCCTCTGTCCGATGATTCACTCCCCAAGTGAACTCAATGGTCAGTGTGGCACCGATCCGAAGCCAGGAGTTTCTTCCAGGTCTCCCACGCGGGTGCAGGGTCCCAAGGCTTTGGGCCATCCTGGACTGCTTTCCCAGGCCACAAGCAGGGAACTGGATGGAAAGTGGAACTACTGGGATTAGAACCGGCGCCTATATGGGATCCCTGCGCTCTCAAGGCGAGGAGGACATTAGCTGTTAGGCCACTGCGCCAGCCCCCGAATGATTTGCATTTCACTCATATACTAACAATTCTAAGGGTCCCATATTTCTGCTGATTACAGTATAAGGAAATCTTCAAAAAGTTTCAAAAAACTACACATGGATTTCAGAAGTTATTTGTACAAAAATAAATTTACCTTTCCAAAAATTATTTTCTGGGGCTGGTTCCATTGCTCAACAGGCTAAACCTCCACCTTCAAACTCCAACATCCCATGTAGGTGCTGTATTGGGTCCCAGCTGTCCTTTTTCCAATCAGGTTCCCTGCTTATAGCCTGAACGCAGCAGAGGACGGTCCAAGGCTTGGGACCCTGCATGCTCCTAGGAGAGCTGGAAGAGACTCCTGTCTCCTTGGTTCCAGATTTGCTCAGCTCCCACCATTGTGGCCATTCGTGCCGTGAACCAGCAGATGGAGTATCTTTCTGTCTCTCCCTTCTGTAGATCTGCCTTGAAATAAAAATTATTTTTTAAAAAAGTATTTTCTTCATTTGAAAGAGAGAGACAACAGAGAAAGATCTCTTATCTGCTGATTCTCTCCCTGTACATTCACAACAGCTGGGGCTGCATCCAATCAGAGCCTGGAGCTGGAGATTCAATCCAGAGCTCCACAGGAGCATGGACCCAACCCCTTTAGTCACTACGTGCTGCTCCCTGCAGTGCACTACATTTCATGCTAACAGAGAACTGGAATTGGGATCAGTTTGGGGACATGAACCTTGAACCCAGTCATTCTAAAAAAATGATGTAGGCATCCCAGATGGCATCTTAACTGCTGTAACAAACACCTGCCCCAACTTTTATGATGTATTTTCTTCATTTAAAAAGCAGTTATAGGGCCCGGTGGCGTTGCCTAGCGGCTAAAGTCCTGGCCTTGAACGCCCCGGGATCCCATATGGGCGCCGGGTCTAATTCTGGCAGCCCCACTTCCCATCCAGCTCCCGGCTTGTGGCCTGGGAAAGCAGTCAAGGACGGCCTAAAGCCTTGGGCCCCTGCACCCATGTGGGAGACCTGGAAGAAGTTCTTGGATCCTGGCTTTGGATCGGCATAGCATCAGCCGTTGCGCTCACTTGGGGAGTGAATCATCGGACGGAAGATCTTCTTCTCTGTCTCTCCTCCTCTCTGTATATCTGACTTTCTAATAAATAAATAAATCTTTAAAAAAAAAGCAGTTATAGAAACATAGGCCACATATATGTCAATTTCTCTCTCTCTCTCTCTCTCTCTCTCTCTCTCACACACACACACACACACACACACACACACACGCACGCACACACATAGATATATCTTCCATCTAATGTCCAAATGGCCATAGCAGCTGTGGCTGGACCAGGCAATAGTTAGGAAGCTGGAACTCTATCCAGTCTCCCATGTGTATGGCAGGGGCCCAAGTACTTCTGTTTCCTTCTCAACCGTATTAGCAGGGAGCTGGAATTGAAAGTGGAACAGCTAGTACTTGAACCTTTGTTCATATGGGATGCCAGCATCACATTCTGCAGATTAGCCTGTAGTGCTATAGTGCTAGCTCCTGCCCCAATCTTCAAAAAAAGTTCTTAAAGAATGTATTTGCAGAATGGTGTTGTGAAATAGCACATAAAATCTTTGCCTTCGATTCCAGCATCCGGTGGGCACCAGTTCAGATCCTGACTGCTCCACTTTGGATCCAACTCCCAGCTAATATGCATGGGAAAGC